TTCCTTGGATTGCCTCCTCCATTGCTGGCTACGGTGTCGTTCTTTTTGCATCATAGGTCTTCTTTACCCTGCCATTAAGCATTGAGGTTCTTTAACACATGGTCTTGGACCTCTTCTCATCCTCTTTTTCTTCTATTTTCTCTCAAAATCTACTCATATTTACAGCTGCCATTGCCACACAAGCAGGGATGACGTCCTAGCAGGCTCCAGCATAGTTTCACCACAGAGCCTCACATCTATCTGTACAAACACATTTCTACTCAGTGTCAACATTTGCATGTTTCACAGCCACCTTGGATTTACTCTATGCAAAATAATACATAAGCTTCACCTCAACCTGCTCTTCTCTTAGTGTTTTCTACTGCAACGAAGGACATCACCATCCAGTCAGACACGTGGGAGTGATTTATCCCATTATCTTCTTTTCACTCCAACATCATTCAGTAAGGTAGTTGAACTTCTTTATCTTCCTTCTTGTACTTTGTATGCCTCTACATTAGTTCAAATCACCCTTACTTCCTTCTCAACCAAGACATTCTAATAGCTTCCTATCTGGTCTCCCTGGCCCCATTCTGGTACTCCTACAAACTACTCTCCATTCTTCAACAAAAGTGGTTTTTCCAAATGAAAACCTAGTAATTGGTACCAATATTCTTCCTGCCTCCATTCTCATTAACTATCTATTTAGAAGTATTTAAAGTTTAATTGCTCTTTGTAGCAAATAAACAAATAAAACAACAAGAACAGAAACTTTTAACATAGCTGACACTCTTTTCTTGTACTGATCCCTGACTCCTTCTCTGGTCGTATTTCCTATCATTTTTTTCTTCCCTTTAATGTGCTCCTGTCACACAGTGCTTTCTTGTGTTCCTAGATTAGGCCAGGATCCACATGGACTCTGGGGATTTTGTATCTTGCTATTCCATAATCCTGGAATGAACTTTATTTCCTCTTTTGCTTACTCTTAAGATCTCAAGGTAAACATCAAGTTCTCAAGCATTTTACAAGCCTACACTCTGGATCAGGTTTATTTTGTTATGTGGTAGTAGAGGATCATAGCACTTATCCTTGTTTGAGATGCACATGTGTTGAACTTAAAAATCTGTATTTTTGGGGCCGGCACCATGGTTCACTTGGTTAATCCTCTGCCTGCGGCGCTGGCATCCCATATAGGCACCGGGTTCTAGTACCGGTTGCTCCTCTTCCAGTCCAGCTCTCTGCTGTGGCCCAGGAAGGCAGTGGAGGATGGCCCAAGTGCTTGGTTCCCTGAACCTGCATGGGAGACCAGGAAGAAGCGCCTGGCTCCTGGCTTCGGGTCAGTGCAGCGCCAACGGTAACGGCCTTTTGGGGGGGTGAACCAATGGAAGGAAGACCTTCCTCTGGGTTTCCCACACAGGTGCAGGGGCCCAAGGACTTGGGCCATCTTCTATTGCTTTCCCAGGCAGAACCTCCTCCTACGCCCCTTTCCTTGTCCTTGTCCTTGGTCTAAGTGACCCCAGGTTAGGCACACACCACCCAGAAGCATACGCCGCTTCTCTGCTCCTCCTTTTACTTTCGGTTCGCCCGGTGAATTCACATAAGGGATTGATCATCTCAGGATTCAGAACCAAGTTATCTTCCCTCACTCGAGAGAGGTGACGCTTCGGAGACACCGTGCGAGCATATGGCCTTGACCTAATGAATCAAGGAAGTCCCCCACTAAGCACAGAACATACGTATGATCTGATACACCACTGTCTGTTCGTCTAAGGTAGGGAACCCCCTGCAGAATGCCATCAGCCACTGAGGTGCTAGGAATTTGCTTTGTTATGGCAGCAGTGCTGTACATGTCTTTCCTTTGGCTAGAGTTGGCGAGGCACACCGCTCTTAAGTGCTCAAACATGGGAAAGATACCCCCTCTCAGAATCCCGCACAGATTACCAAACATAATGAATCTGTGAGTGATAAGAGCCTGACACTCCAGGTCCCTGCCTCACAGACAACAGTTGATGACTTAGGGAGAGAGAGCTCTGACAATGAAAATGACATGACAGCAGACAATGTAGCAATGCCTGGTCAGCCACCCCCCAAATACTCATGGGATGAATTTAGACGACCTCAAGGCAATAACCCATGCGAGGTCATCCCATCCGCACCCAGTGAGGATCTCCACATTTGTGGCAGTCCCCAGGTACCCCAGGCTCTCAGGGCAGCTGCTAGACCCCATCCCACCTGCACATTTGCCGTAAATGTAGGAGTGGATGCAGAATTCAGGCCCTGGATTCCAACGCCTGTAAAAAGGCTTCTGCTAACCAAGGGTCGAGGATATGCTTGTGTTTTCCAGAGAATGCAGGACAGCCCATTTGGGTACCAGCCAGAAACATCAAGCCTGCAACTGACAGCCAACGAGAACCAGCTGAACAAGACTGAGAGTCTGCCTTGTTAGCGGATGCACCTGCCCTAGCATCCTACCCTGAGGAACTGCCCATAGCCACATCCTTAACTGTTTTATACCCCACTAGCTCTGGTCAGCCACTCAAATGGCCCACAGCCTGTGTGCAGTCATGCCATTCCTGATTAACATTGTTTCTCATTCCTACCCCCATCGAGCAAGCACTCCTGTGGTCTCCCGTTTTGAGCGCTGGTTAGTCAATGATGGGTAAAATCCCCTGGGGGACAACCTAAGACAGGCATAGACACATACAGAGACCACATGGAAATGGGGTCAACAATGGTATGGCCAAAAATCATGCCTCCCATTGCTCAAAAATAAATGAAAAGGGGGCAATGTGGTGGAATGAGAAGGCCATGTCAAGATGGCCACTGGCAACAGAAACTGCCTGGCAACAGGCTGTGATTGGATGGCTTCGAAAACTGCCTGGCATCAGGGTGTGATTGGTTAGGGCATAGACCGCCCCTTGACCAGATTGGCTGCCTTGGCTATATAAGCTTTGTAGCAACTGAAATAAATGAGTCCACGGGCTGCTTGCCTCAGGCCTGCTTTCACCTGACTCCTGGGGTCTGTGTGGTGACTCTGCGCCTCTTGCCCCCACCACGCTCCTCCTCCCAGAAACGAATCCACAGCAACAATAGCAGAGAGCTGGATCGGAAGAGGAGCAACCGGGACCAGAACCGGTGCCCATATGGGATGCCAACGCTTCAGGCCAGGGCTGCACCCAGCACCAGCCCCAGGACTCATGTAATTTTACCATAACCAGAAAGGGATTATATTTTGGTTGGTTGATCATATATACTGATTTATATTTTTGTCCAGGCCTAATTATTAATAGTACCTTCCCTAACTGTCCAAAGTATCCCATATTGGGCCATACATGGTATGGTCATCTGTATATACACAGAAGACACACCAGAGCCAGTATAAAGATATCTAAGGTTATGAACCTTAGATTTTATTTATAGTTTTGCCTGTAGAATTGATTATGGCAAATTTTAACACAGGTTCTTATTGGCTTGTGCTACAATATTTAAGCTAGAATATTAAAGATTTACAGGTTTTTGACAGGCGGATAAGAAGAAAGGTCCCTCTAAGTAAAAGGAACACATGAAAAAGGACACAGAGATAGAAAAAGTACCTAAGATATTTAGGAGCATAGGAGGCTGGGCTGGAGGAGTAGAAATAGGTTGAAGAAGGTAAATTAGGGCAGATATTTTTATTATGAAACTAGGAGAGAATATTTGATGTTGGTGAATAAGATGGTCTACCACCTCCTTTAGATAGTTCTGATGGGAGCACTGTGGGGAGCAACTGAGACTAGACTAAGTTACTGGAATTAAGACTTATTCTATGCATCTGCTCTCCCACAATATGGCGCTGAGAGAGAGCCCAAACAACCTCTATGCAGCTGCCTCTCGCCAGTTTGACTGATAAGCTGCAGGAGCTGATCCTGCTCCTGATTGGAGGAGAGCTGCGTGCTCGGCGTGTGGGCAGCAGAGTTGGGATTGGTGGAAGAGGACTATAAAGGAGGAGAGAGTCAACATGCACCAGGAACATCTGAAGGAACACCTGAGCAGCCCCCGAGAGAGCCGGCCGGCGGTGTGCCGCTCCTCTGCGGAAGCGGGGAAAGTGGCAGGGGGAGCTGCCCCTCCACGGAGGTGGAGGGGTCGGCAGCCAATCTGGGAAGGACCAGCAGCAAACCCGGGAAGGGCTGAGCAGACAAAAGAACAGTGCAGGGTCCAGTGTCATTCCTCCGCGAATGGGGGAACGACAGAGCACAAAGTAGATCTGAAGTATGCAAGAAAAGAATATAAAACATGCATAATGAAAGGTGATGAAGGTCAACGTTGGGCAGTAGAAGTAGAGAAGAAAAAGGACTTGTACATAAGAACCATTAAGAGGGAAGAAGTGAAAATATTTGATTGAGGAATGACTGGATTGGGGAACCAGTTACTCAACAAATATTTTTTAACATCTATTTTGTGCCTGATAGCTTGTAGAATATTACAGTACAAAGATAAAAAGACTTAACTGCTGATTTCAAAGATACATGTAAACTAATATCTACAATATATACAGCATAGATATTAGAATGGGAGTATGTTCAAGGGAAAGTTAAGTCAAAAAGAAAGAACTTTCAAGTCTTCCTGGTTCAATAAGGAAAAGCATAAGAGAGCAGGTAATCTGAGCAGAAACTGAGAGAAGGAACAATGATGGTGATTGGGAATGAGAGCAGAGTGTTCAACACCAAGGCTCATGTCTTACACATTTTTGTAGTGCCATGGCTCTGTATGGTGTCCAAAAGGTAGGAGAATGATAAAATGCTGGTGTCTCACAGGAGATAGTTATAAATGGAGATAGAAAGAAGATGATGACACAGTTAAAGAGAGGAAGGAAATGACAATGCAGAGATCAAACTTAAAGACTGCTCTGCTGTCTTCCACATCCTGAATAGTGTCATCTTAGTTTGAAAGAGTTGATTCTGCCTTTGAAGTTTGCTAGCCTACAATTAGGAGAGTTTACCCATCAGGAGAATCTGACTTAATAAACAAAGATACAAATTTCTATCCTAACTATATTGAGAAACTTTGAAAGATTTGATTATACTATTCTTTAAGGGATAGGGCACAGATTTAAAGGAGTTAAGAGTCTTGATATTTTCTGGAATTTTTCTGCTCATCTTTAATTGACAGGGTATTTACTTTTAAACTTAGTTTTCAGGTCAACCCAATTATGCCTCTCTGTGACACATGCTCTCATTTCACCTTGGCAGATTGGTTTCATTAGAAATAATCCACGGTGGGGGTAATGTTAACATAATATTGCTTCTAAACTAGGCACAGTTTGATGAAAGATTTGGATGTACTTGGTGGGTTGCTGTTCCAATTTCAGACGTTTTGCTGGCATTCCCTGAGAGTCTGCCAACAGCAGGGGATGACAGCTAAATGGGCTTTTCATACTCTGAATGTGGCAGTGGAGATTTAGCCTTGTGACTCTCTTTAAAAACCTTTGGGAACTGATGATCGAGAGGCCCTGAACTCCTCAGGGAAATGTTATTTCAAATGAGTTTGCCAATTCCAAATTCACCAGTTAAAATTTGAAGATGAATGAGGTCATCTCTCACATTTATGCATTGTTTAAACCAATCTGCAATGCAATATCACATGCATTATTCCACTTGACTTTATAGTAATCCGGGGTTGTAGTCAAGAATGGCTTTGCTTTTTCCATTTTATTGATTTTATAGATGAGAGCTAGGTTTAAAGAAAGTAACTTGTTTGTCCATAGTTGCATAGATAATTAAAAGTTTTATGAGGTCTGGGAATCAACTTAGTATATTCATTCCCAGTCTAGTGCTTATTATACCTAATCATGAGGTCTTACTGGTAAAACTTTAAATATATTCATTGAATGAAAAACAATTAAGTCTCCACAGCAGATAATGTTCATACCACAGATTTAGGAAGACAGGTATAAGAGAAACAGAAAAGAAACTAAGTTGAATACCTTTGCTCTTCAAGGATTTAACTTTGGTACACCTTGCTGTCAGCACAGGGGTGCCTTTACTAATTCACTAATCCAGGAGGATGTTACCCAATCATAAAGCAGGAATATCCTTCCAAGATGTACTAGGAAGTCACTGTAATGGTAATATCTTATGGTTATAAGCTACATTTAACTAAGGTAATATGCTTAACCTGTTAATGGTACAAATAGGCTCATTTTTGAATACTGAATTTACTGCATCCTTAGTTGCCTTAGCAGAAAGATGTTGCTGGTCCAGATTCTTGTGCCTGCCACAGTGTTCCTGCAAGAGATGGGAGCAAACTTTCTTATTGTTAGGTAGGACCAAAGGTACTTTGAGGGTGAACTGTCACTGTTGTAGCTCTTTGGTTCATTCTCATATGGATTACTCTCAAAGTGCTTACAATGGCTGTTGGATCAGGGAGAACTTTAACATAAGCCCCTTGTATAGATGGAATCACTCCCCTTTCTATAAACAGTAGACTTTGTCTTTGAACCTGGGTCTTGTCTTGTCTTGTCTTTCTGTCTTTCTGTCTGTCTGTCTTTTTTTTTTTTTTTTTGCCAGGCAGAGTTAGACAGTGAGAGAGACAGAGAGAGAGAGTTATAGACAGTGAGAGAGAGACAGAAAGAAAGGTCTTCCTTTCCGTTGGTTCACTCTCCAATGACCGTCACAGCCAGCACTACACCAGTCCGAAGCCAGGAGCTGGGTACTTCCTCCTGGTCTCCCATGTGGGTGCAGGGACCCAAGCACTTGGGCCATCCTCTACTGCCTTCCCGGGCCACAGCAGAGAGCTGGACTGGAAGAGGAGCAACCGAGACTAGTACCCAGTGCCCCAACTGGGACTAGAACCCAGGATGCCGGTGCCTCAGGCGGAGGACCAGCCAAGTGAGCCACGGCACCAGCCTGAACCTCGGTCTTCTACACATGCTCCATCTTTGTTTATTGTGATACCCTTTTTGAAGATTTGGGGAATTTAAATGGGGGAAATCCCAATCCATTCAAGAGGATCCAATGTTGAACATCAGAATGGAAGCTGTTGAAGCCTCTTTCAAAGGTTTTAAACAGTTCTAACCTCTATGAAAATTTACCATATAATCACAGTAATGTCTTTATCACAACAAAGAAAATTAGGAGGGACAAGCTTTGATAAATGCCCCCAAATAATTACAATTAATGCCCATTTGTCTTATGTTTATCTAGCTTACAGAAACTCTTTAAATGATTCTTTCTAGAACCAAAGAGTCAAGAAGAGCATTTACATAAAAACATCTTTATATAGCAAAACTATAAACAAGTTGATGTTTTGACTATCCAACTACTTGATAAAACAGTGTCCAAGACTATTGAAAAATCTTAAAGCTTGAGTGTTGCACAAATATTTGGATAGACTTCTGTATAGGAGCAGAACTTTGTCCTGGAATTTGAATATTGAATGAAACCAACAAAGAGGTCTTAATAACTCTATAGGAATAATAAAAGTATTCTTATATAAGCATCAGACTCATAAATCCTTACAAAAGCTATGCTTCACTCTGTTGTCTAAGAACAGGAGCAGAATGAGCTGTACTATGCTGGAATGCTTAGAACGAGGAGCAGTGGAAAGAATGAGGAACAAGAAAAGCAACAGAGTTCTGAGTCCAAACAGGATAAAAAGTCTGAGCTGTATGTTGACACTAATTCTAGGGTTGGTTTATGACTGTGTGAAAATGTTGGTGCCAATGGATTAGAGAATGAAAAGTCATAAAGTTAGAGGATACAGGGCACAACTGTGTTGGCGTTGAATAGCCAGAGGGGTTCAAGTTCAGTGGTGTTCCTTCCACTGATGATGGCAGTTGAGTAAACTGTGGCAATGACATCAATGGTACTTGTGGTGGTGTTCTGGTTATGTTTTGTCTCTTTTCAAGGATAGGAATCTAGAAGCCCCTGTCACATATTTGGGAGTCTTACAATTAAGCTAGAATTCTTGGTAATCTGGAATAGAATTGTTCATTAAAGGTAAGGCTTTGGTGGACTGAGTGGTTTAAAATATGATGAAGAGCCTAGAAATTTGAAAACCATGCACTGGGGTTTGTATTATTTGGGTTCTCAGTTGGAAACAAATGATACACACAAATGAAGCATTTGAGATCTTAACAAAAGGTCTGCTTAAAATATAGTAGGCAGAGTTAAAGGGTGGTGAAGCACTTTATGGATTTGAACTGCAAGGTCCCTTACTCTAGGCATGAGAAAGCAAGAGTAAAGAGCAGTTACCCAAACCCATACAGAGCAATTGCTGTGGCTACAAGAGGGGGTCTTACAATAGGAGCGGTAGACTTTGGTAAAAGAATCTATGCACTGCTAACTTACAGCCTTGTAGGGAGGGTCAGGAAATAAATTCCTCCTTATCTTTCTCCATTTGATCTCCTCCTTGTGCAGCCCATGGACTGCACCAGCCTGAAGCTGGAAGGTTAAGGTTAGCTGGTTGATGAAGTACATAGAAGTCAACTTTGAGGGGCAAAGAACAAGGTGTAAAAATTGGAGCCCATCATGGTGGGCTAATGAGACCATCCATCACAGGCAGCTGCTTCTAGTGGCACTAGATATCTTTCAAGAGATTGAGTAACCCAAATTCCTACATTCTTGGCTCACAGTCTGAAGAAGAAGTATTTTCTCTGACTATGGAAAAAGAAATATCTTATCTTCTGGTGCCTGAGGGCTAGAATATCCAAAAGTCAAACAAATAGTTTGATTCTGTGGTTTGCCAAATTACAAAATCAGTTGACTTTAAAATCTTATTAACCATCTCTTAAAGCTGGGATAGTGAAATAGAATAAGGCCCTATGGATTAGAATAGGAGTATGTGGAAGAATTCAGGGCATAAACTCACCATTCCACTGAATCTTCCTGGCCACTTGAAACAGCTCTTCTATTTCTAATAAAATGTTGCAACCTTGCCTGAAGATCCTGTTACTAATTCCTGCAGAAAGCCAATTCTTTTGTCCTCTCCCCATCAACCTCATTGACTCTAGATTCATCAACTTTGCTTCTAGAATAGTTGGGATGGAGTCTTTAAAGTTAAATTTGAGAGGAAAAATGTCATACTCAAACATGTTACAATAGTTGAAATATCTTTAAGCACATGAAAAGTCCTCACAATGTCTTCCTGATTTCTAAAACAAGAGCCATTAAGCATCTCTGAAATAAAAATGTATCTGTAATTGATGGAACATTAGAGCTCATTTGAAATCAATATTTTCTTTCTGGAGAGAATAGGAAATGAATATACCTCTTACAATTATGGGCATAAGTACTGTAATTATCATTCCTACTTTAAAGAGGAGAAAACTGAAGCACAGGACAGTAACTTGCTCAAAAGTTACATTTGCTAGTAAGTGATAGAGCAAAGATTCAAACCCAGGTAGTCTGACTTGAAAGGCTTACCCTTTGCCATTGTACGATACTGCCTCTTAAAAAGCTCAAGGAAGAAATATATTATTCTAAATCTTAATGTTGGTCTAGTAGAGGGTGGGTTGGAACTCTCCATACTTTCTACTCAATTTTGGTGTGAACCTAAAACTGCCGTAAAAAAACAACAGTGTCTATTAATTTAAATATTGACATAGTATAGCAACAATTAGTTCCGTGATTTGTGAATTATCAATAAAGTATTTCTCTTGCAAATAAAACTTTTAATCCAGGAACCAACATGTGAGGGAGTCTTTCCTAATCTATCCTGATGCTTGCTTACTGACACAGGAACAAAAGACCATGAGGTCTCTTGGGGTTAGGGTTAAGGATAAACTCCACATGGGCTGAACAACATGGTCTGCCACTATTGGTTAGCCAGATTGCTGGCATCATTAATGATCCCTGAGCCCTTATAGAAGGCTGATTAATGGAGCCGGGTGCTGTGGCATAGTAGGCTAAGCCTCCACCTGCAGCGCTAGCATCTCATATGGGCGCTGGTTTGAGTCCCGGCTGCTCCACTTCCTATTCAGCTCTCTGCTATGCCCTGGGAAAGCATCAGAAGATGGCCCAAATCCTTGGGCCCCTGCACCTGTGTGGGAGACCTGGAAGAAGCTCTTGGCTCTTGGCTTTGGATCAGCCCAGCCCTGGCAGTTGCAGCCATTTGGGGAGTGAACCAGCAGATGAAAGACCTATCTCTCTCTTTTTTTCTCTCCCTCTGTCTGTAACTCTGGCTCTCAAATAAATAAAATCTTAAAAACAAAAGAAGGTTGATTAATTTGGGCATAACCCTCAGAAAGGTCATGATTGATCCTCACTGGATTGTGCAAGAGCTACCATTTTAAAACCTGTGAATGTTTTATAAAATGTCCTGGTATCTCCAACAACACTACTTCTGACAGAGAAACCTATTTATTATAGAGGTGTTAGAGAATGCATTTATAATGCTTCAGGGATTTAACTGGCCATATCTTACCACCTCTAATAGTCTTTATAGAACAGTAGAGCATCCTATGGAGTCTCAGTTACTGCTGTAGAAGGGGAAGAAGGGGAAGAATATAATGTGAGTTTGGATATTACGACCCAAGGAATAAAAATTTGCATTGTTTCTCCACTGGATGCAGGATCCCAGTTAGCTGAAGTGCTTGTTGAAGATAAAGACAATATAGAATAAGAAACAGAGGAAGAGAAATATAAAGACTAGCTATGGTGGCCACTTGATGCACCACTCAGATCATCCTTCCATGAAAGAATTGTGGCCCCAGATCATGCAGAAATCTCTGAGTTTTCAGTGCTTTCATGGATTGGATTTACTGTAGACAGATTCCTCACTCAAGTTCATGCCACTTCTTGGGTGGCCTTTATTCGGTAATTTATCAATGGAGGATTTTGAAGACCTGGTCATCTCTGCCTGGCTGAGGACAAATGAATGGTCGTTCTGTCTTTCAAGTACACATGGGTCTGGCTAGGACTGCTGGGCCAGCGTTAGGACCTAACTCATTCCTTTGTCTTCTCTGGTTTTTCCCTCACCCTTTCACAGATCTTGAGCCCAAGAACTCTCTTAAACAAATATCCAGCCAGTTAAATATCATCTCAGAATCTACACCATAAAGAACCTAAACTGCAATCCCAGTTACCCTCTCTCAGTTATAGAAATAAGGAACAGAGCCTCAGACCATATTTCTTTCCTTAGTGTAGTGTGCGTGTGTGTGTACTTCCTTTCCTTTTCTGTCATCTCATTCCAGCTCATACTTATATGATGTGCATATCATGTGTTTTAGTGGGCAAATTTATTATTTGGTCCAGGAGGCAGGATATCAGTAAGAAGAATGGGCACTGCCTGTAATAGCAGATGAGGCTTCACTGTGCTTCCCACTCATGAAATGTTGACTTCTTGGTTGTCCTGGGGAGGATGTTATCTTGTTAGGAGTAATGTTTTTGGAAATGTTATGAACAGAGGAAGGATCTGGGAGAATGTTAGCTAAAGTGGTAGACTGTGATGGATATTACCTATTTTGACGTCTTAGAATCTATAAATATTCTTTTCACCTTGGGAAAAGAAACCTAAGATTGGTGGGAGGTAATGTTTTTCTACAGAAATGGAGGAAACCATTGTCATGTAGCCACTGTATGGCAACACACCCATAGTGATGCTTTATTGAGCCTTGCTGTCTTGCAGGGTGAAGCTGTGAGCCTAATCAGCACCACTCTCCAGCCTTGAAGCCCAAGTGCGAATCAGCCTTTCTAGTAATGTGGGACAGGCCAGCAAAGGGCCTAAGGGCTATTTCTAAAGAATAATAAACAAATGTTGTAAGAGAAGTTTTAATCTGCAGCTCCCTTATGATTTGTAAACCTACAAAGGCTTATCTCTGCTACTGTTCTTACATGAGGGGTAGCGTAAATCTTGCTTTAACTTTGCCCAGACAGCTCAGTGCCCCAGGGCCCCAGGCTGGCATCCCACCTGTAACTTGTTCTAACAAGCACTTTGTTGCTGCATGGAGTCTTCTTCTTCATTTCCTGCTTAGTTTTGGCAGGGGGTACTCTGTACTTCACAACACCAACGCTACACTCAGACAGCCTTCTGGTGGTTGGGCATTGTCATGTGACCAGCATGGAGCCACAGAATTCCTAGCATGAAGCTCTGAATGTTGAAGGAATAAGTGGCATGGCCACTTAACAATTATTCCTGCACTGTGGAAGAGTCATGTTCAGTGCCTTTATAATAAGTGGCTGGTGGCTGAGGAATACTGGTGAAATTCTCTGCAGTCCATTTCTAGAAAGGATTTTGGCTGGATTTCCCTTGGTTCCTGCAAAGTCTGGTTGTTACATCTTCTTGCCAATTTTGTAAGGTACTAAATACCTTACAGTAAATTATTGTGCAGCCAATTCTTTTTCTGCTTATGTTAGCCAGAGTCTATATCTGTGATTTACATTCCGAAACCCTAGCATACAAATCCTCCAGGATACTCCTAGAAGTACAGCTAGCTAACAGTGTTGAGGAGGAGTTCAGGCACTTAAATTTCAGGGCAAATCAGTGCCAGGTAGATAAAGACAGATGAAAATGGCAGATGGAATACCTCTCCTGCCCTTTGCCCTAAGGAAGCCTGGATTTCTGGATTTTGTAGTGAGGGAAATGACCCTTTGATGGCCCAACAAATACAAAGGGTCTTCAATAAATTCATTGAAAATCCATGTTACGGAAAAGCCATGCACTGATTTCAAAATGCTTTTGTACCAAAATAAGCTTGTCTTTTCATTCCCTTTTTCTACACATATGTTAAAGGCTACTTGTATAAGGAACAGGGACTTACTGTTCTTCTGAGGCTCTGACTTTGTTCCTTGTAGCCTCTACTCTAGTTTTTCATAGTTATCTGTGACATCAGGACAGTTTGTGTGGTCAGGAACCCAACGGAGGTATTTCCCAGATATTTCCCAGTTTCGGATAAATAGAACTCCAGTTTTATTGATGAGTGATAACTAGCACATCAAGGAGTCACTATATCATAGACTTGGGCTGATGGTTGAATAGCCCAGGGTCATCTTGCAGGATCCCTTTCTAATTTTGCAGTGGCTATAAAACTGGCAGAAACAAAAAGACCTGTTGGCTTTTCTGTCAGTAACTTCAGAGCTTCAGCCCTCTCCCTGTAGAGTAGTCTCCTAATTTAGTCACTAGGTGCATTCTAAAATTATATGCAAGGCCTGTGAAAATCATAGCAATGGTAAGAAGAGGTTATTTGGCTGACCCTGAAGATGGCCCACATACCGCCAGGCAATCCAAGTTTTTTTGGGTTCCCTCTTGACTCATAAAAATCTCACTGCCACAAGTAAATAATAAATCTCTGATTTAAATGGCAGATATTAAAGAATATTATGCTAATCTAGGTAAAGCTAAAAGATAAAGGTTAGTTTACAGCATCTGAAAGATAGGAACTAGGTTAATCCCTATGCTGGCATCCCATATGACCAACAGTTTCAGCCCATGCTGGGCTTCACTTCTGACCCAGCTTCCTGCTAATGTGCCTGGGAAAGCAGTGGAGGATGGCACATGTACTCAGACCTCTGCCACCCACTTGGGAGACTTGGATAAAGCTCCTGGATTTGGCCTGGCCTAGCCTTGGCCCTTGTGGGCATGTGAGGAGTGAAGCAGCAGAGGAAAACCTCATGATGTGTCTCTACCTCTTTCTCTGTGATAGGCACCAGCTATCTCTTGGCTAGGTGGGAATCATCAGAGGAGCATAACTGTAATACTGGCTTGGGTCATATCCACACATGAGCTATCATTTTAATGTACCAGGAATTGAGAGAATATATAGAGTCTTATGGGATTTTTAAATAGAACTTCCATCATATTCTTGTTATAATTTATCAAGCACTTACTATGTGTCAGGCACTGTGTTTAGTAGTGCAAATTTTCTGCTTTGAGATAATTATTTATATAAAGGGAACCAATTTCATGTATTTCACATATACAGTTTTAAGAGCATAATGATACCTCTCATGCTACCCTTCCTCCCTCCCTCTCATACATCCACCCTCCATCTTTTCTTATTTTTCTTTTAGTTTTTACAATGACATACTTTTAATGTACTTTATAGTCACAGATTAACCTTCCACTAAATAAATAACTCCAGAAGTGGTAAGCAGAAAAAAAGCTGTTCCACAATAATATAGACAAGAGCTGTAAACAATAATCAAATTTCAAAGTGTCAATTTTGCTCAAATGTATTACATATTTGTATCTTGTATATTAGTTACCATAAATCAAGGAAAACATGATATTGCCTGTTTGGGACTGGCTTATTTCACTAAGCGTAACAGTCTCCAATTGCAAACATAAATAATGTATTTCTTCTTCGAGCTTTCTTTTTTAAAAGATTTATTTATTTATTTGAAAGCCAGAGTTAGAAAGAAGGAGAGATGGATAGAGATCTTCCATATTTGGGTTAAATCTCCAAATGGCTGCAATGACCAGTGCTAGGCTAGGCCAAAGGCAGGAGCCTGGAACTCCATCTGGGTCTCCTACATGGCTAGCAGGGGCACTAGTACTTGGACCATCATCTGCTGCCTCCGCAGGCACGTTAGCAGAGAGTTAGACCAGAAGTGAAGAAGCTGGGACTTGAACTGGCACTCATATGGTATGCCAGCTTTGTAGGCAGTGGCTTAACCCACTGTACCACAACACAGGCCCTTGAACATTTTCTTATTTCATTCTCTCAGCCATGCTCTGTGGTGGGTTTTATTGTGTCCTTTTTACAGATGAGACTCAGAGAAGATTAAGTCACTCATCAGAGTCTGTTTGGGGTAAGCCAGAATCCCATTTTCTCTGCTCCTAAAGCCCAGGCCATTTTTACTGCACTCTGGAGATGAAGCAAGACATTGTAAAACTTGCTGCCCACAGATAGGCATATTTGTCCACTTGGGGCTCTTCCCTGTCCTTTTGAGGTTAACAACAACCAATGTGTTTTTAACCACATATCCCTGGGTACCACTGTCAGCTTCAGAACCCCAGGCTGCCCTGAAATTCGATCTGACCCAGTGTGGGATCTCTCATTATTCTTCTGTTCTTTGGCACACAGTTTCCATAAAGCACTACATCAATCCAGTTTACCCTGGAACAAGTTCTAAAAGAAAGCACATTACTTTACATGCATGGGGAAGAGAAGATAAGGGGGTTAGGTTTGAAACAAACTTGCTTTGTGAGAGTGCTTTGTTTTGTCACAAGGGCCTTTGTCACGTGGTGCCTTAAAAGAACCCAAACAACCAAACCACCGAAATGAAGAGTGGCTTTAAAGCCATACGGTTTGAATCATCCTGTTCCATAGAGTAACTGAAATAGGAGCTGAAAATGACCTGCTTGGCCATCCTACCCTTCCGGAGTCAGTTCAATGTTCCCTGCAGAGGAGGCCGCCTGAATCCTATTGGGTTTGATGAGCTACGTGTCGGGGACTCCTCATTTCCTGTCCTGATGAGTCGGTCATCTAACAGTTCTTACTCCTTGGACATTTTCCCAACCCCATGCCAAAATTTTCCTTTGCTCTAGCTCATCTCATTATTTCCCCTTTACTCCTGGGCTTCTGACTTGTTCTATTGTCTCTAGAAGTTTCCATGCTTTCTAAAGGCTGCCAGTTTTATTTAGTGATGTCTCCTGCCAGAGCATTTCTGAATGGTCATTAGCACATCACCTCCCCCCAAGAGGAGAACTTCCAGAATGAAGCCTGCAGTCTGATGCTGGGAGTGGTCTTGAGAGGTGGTGGCGTCATTACCTGAGTTTTCTCCAGGCTTTCTTCTCACAGTTAGCGTTTATAAAATTATCTATTCATGTAGCCCAATGACAGAGAAACATGCGCACATATCTCAGAGGGATTTGTAGGGTTGAACACATTGACTTGAGATTTCTTCAACATTACTTATTTTCTCTTAAATATTTATACCTTAAATACCTCTATGCTTGCTTTCATACAACACTACATTAAACCTGAACCAATTAAGTGAATCCTCCATGTACCAGTAACCTGAACAATTCTCAAATAAATTTTCCATTCCAGAAAGTGCTTTATGCTAAGCCTGTGACCTCAGATACCCCTTGACGTATTATGATGAGAAGATAAATTCCAGTTTGAGGAGCATGATTCTAAAAACACAATGTGGCTGTTGCAGTAAAGCTAGGATAAGGAACCGAGAATAAAGCAAGTGATGATAAGAGTACAGACAACAGAACATGAATGTGTTTTGCTTGGGGATGAATAGACTCGAATTCTAAATCTCTAAGACTCAGGACAAGTTATTAACATCTGTGATATTCAGCTTCTGCAACGGGAAAAATGAGAATAACAGATCTTGTTTTGAGGCTTTAGAGTAGCACAGTGTTTCGTATAGTTGGCACCAAATAAACATTACTTGCCTTTTCCTCTCTTTGGGGGAGGGCCCTGGAGGAGATAAAGAAAAGAAAACTCCTTCTGGGTTATTTATCCTCCTGGTATTACTTTTTCCAGCCCCATTCCGTCACTGGACTAGAAAACTTTCAGCTCACAGATTGAGCCTTTACTTAGTGCCTCTGCCAGTTCAGACCAAACGTGGCTACATTTGAAGGGCCAACCCTTACCACTGAAAAGGACTTGGGATTCATCTTGTTGCCAAGGTTGTACTGGGGTGGATGATGGGCATCTCTCCACCTTTCTGCACTCCAGCTCTCCTCTCTAATCCCCATCTTCCATCGGAGGCTCAGCTTTGGTTTCCTGAGCGCATGTCAGTCTGCTGGGACTAGAGCCTTCTGTCAACACCACATCTATCCAGCTGGGCCCAGTATCTGCTTGAGTTTCCCTAACCCCTTCTCATAGGTACCGAGCCCAAGTTATGGTCTGGTCTTCAGTGTTTGTTTTGTCTGTTTTATCAGCCCACTGTGTCAACCTCCTTCATGTGCTTAGAGGCCCCATAATCTGCATAACCCTAATTAACTCCTTCCCATGAGCACTAAGTCAAGTTGATGGCCAAGACTTTGCCTTTATGTATTCTTGTTGTTGTTTTTAATCAGTGCAGTATCTGAATCTTTTTCTGCCTGGGACTCTGTATCTGCAGAGCTGAGGTGGTGGGTAGGACCTCACCTCTCACTACAGATGCCTGAAAGGCCAGATGCTCCTGCCTCAGCCTCTCATTTTGGAACCAGTGATACACAATAGCACTGCACAGATAAAAATTCATTCCAGAGGCTGAGATGTTGACACCAGTGTCTCCTAGGGTCACTGGAGACACCCAATCCAGACTGTTCCTACAGTTGAGCTTCTGGACACCTACTCTCTGTTCACTATTCCTGTTCATTTATGACCTTGTTTCTTGGACTTTTCTTTCTACTACCTGAGTTAGTCCATGCCCTTCCTTAAACTCCGCCCCCCCCCCTTTTTTTTTTTACTTTAGATAGCTGCAGTCCCTTTCAGTTTGCCTTCAAGGACCCTGACTCAACAAATCCTACTTCAATCCGACTGACCTGAATTATGATGCTGCCACCTGCTGGCTTCATAGTTTAATATCTGTACCTTGGGAGATACTGTGTCCTGCAGGAACAAGGGACTGCATTGTTTTTTGGGGTATGCACTGTAATGTCTTTCCAATCTTTTGTCAATGATGCACTTGGTTCCATAGATGTTGGGGGTGCTGTGGGTAGACAGCCTTCAGCAAGCAGCTTCTTTTGTGACTCCATCAGCAACAGAGAGCTACCTTGCCAGTACCATCTTTCAGGGTCATCCTCTACAGTGACTAGTCCATGCAACTGTCTCCGCCCAAGTGTGGACAATTCTGAAGGGCCATTCTAGCTACAGAGATCCCTGTGGGGTTTCTGAGGCTCTCTTTGCAGGTGCATTGCAGTTTGACCCCTCTCTCTGCCCAATCCTGATTCTAGCTTCTCCCTAATCATGTGTTGATCATAATAAACCTCCTCTACATTGATCTCCCTATTAAAGTTGCTTCCTGGAAAGCCCAATCTGTAACAATTTTAATTTTTTCAGTGACAAGTTGTCAGGGCCTAGTCCAGTTTTCACAAACTGTAAGTGCAAAAAGCCATCTATTCAATAACTGGGAATTAGCTTTATCAATGGAGAAGACTACCCTTCTCTTGCCTGAGACTGTTTCTCACTTGTGCTCTTATGCCCTCTCTTCCCACCTCTTCTTACTTAGCTATAGCTCTCTCTTCATCTTCCTCCAGTTTCTTACATGTACTTGATCTCAAGGCATTGTCCCTGGTCCTCTTCTCTAGGTGATGCCAACTGCTTCCATGGATTGTAATCACCCAAAGGGCGTTTTGACAAGTCTGTTAGTTATAGCCCCAACACTTATCACAAAGCTTGGCACTTAGCATGCAATACAATAAATATACATTTTCCTAAACAAAAGTCTATATCTGCTATATTTCTCTGCTGGGGAAGAGAAGGCTAACCCAATAGCAGCATGAAAGAGTCAGGAGGAAAAGTTTAACTAGTGTTTTGAAGCAGAGAAAGATAATATTAAGACTCCTAGGCTCTTTTTCTCTTTCTAAGCACCCTTCTTCAGTCATGTCTTCTTCCTTATTTACCTTCTTTATTCACATTAAAATGCAATGATTGGCCTGCGCAGCGGCTCACTAGGCTAATCCTCCACCTTGTGGCGCCGGCACACCGGTTCTAGTCCCGGTCGGGGCACCGGATTCTGTGCCGGTTGCCCCTCTTCCAGGCCAGCTCTATGCTGTGGCCAGGGAGTGCAGTGGAGGATGGCCCAAGTGCTTGGGCCCTGCACCCCATGGGAGACCAGGATAAGTACCTGGCTCCTGCCATCAGATCAGCGCCGTGCACCGGCCGCAGCGCGCCAGCCGCGGTGGCCATTGGAGGGTGAACCAATGGCAAAAGGAAGACCTTTCTCTCTGTCTCTCTCTCTCTCACTGTCCACTCTGCCTGTCAAAAAAAAAAAAATGCAATGATTGACGTTGCTAAAGTGCTATTCTTAAAGGTATTTTATAGGTCTCAATGCAAGTGGAAAGTATAATGAGTAATGATTAGAACCATTTTAAAGTTAATCAGGCGCCTTGTGTTTGCCTTTGCAAAGGAGAACCATCTACCCTCTCATTTGAGCTACATAATGCTATGAAACCATTTGTATTATTTTCACTTTACGGATGATGAAAGTGAAAAGGAGTTTTAACCTTTCCACCACAAATTACATAGGTAGTAATGAGAAGATCGGAGGTCAAATCCGAGTCTCTTTCTTTCTAAATCTCAATGCTCTGTTTTTTATATCATGTTGAAGACAAAAGTTTGGCTTTCCAGATAGGGAGGATTAGTCAAGTTCGAGCTCACATTGCTTCTTAGTAAGACCTGCTCTATTTACCAAATCTGAAACCCAGTTCCTTTCTGTGGTGGATCTTGGAAAAGAAAGGCCCCTCAATACTTCTGTTCAGTCCTTTAACTTTCTCCAAAGGACTCCAAGATGAAGAGGAAGCATATTATTACTTGGAAAGTCTATACAATTCACAGGTTTTAGGGACATTTGTCCTGGGAATCAGAGTGTTGACTACAATAGAAAGAACAGAACCAAACAATACAGCACAGAGATGTGCTACCTCTACTGATTCCAATTCAAAAGTTTTACCAAGTTTTGATGGAGGCAAAAGTGCCACAGTGAAGCAATTTTTTTAAATGAAGAAGTGGAAAGGAGTGACTCCTTAAAAGCACCACACAGCACCCAAACCGTGCTCCGATAGTGATCTAGCTCCAGGCCCCAAACCCGTCTCCAAGACATGGTCTTACTCACAAAGCCCCTCATGCTGGGATGCCAGCTGTGACTATGCTATACTTTTCCTTGGAAACAAGCCTTCCTCTCCAGTTTTCCAAGCCTGTCTGTCTGACCATGTTCTTGGCACACTGTTTGGTCACAGCTTGGAGATTTTAACCTGCTTGAAAAATACTGTGAATGAATTTTCCAGGAATGCTAACCTAGACTTGAAAACAATGTTTGATCTTAAGTAATGTTTCTTTTTTTTTTTCCCACTCTCATGCACAAAATATATCTCAATAAGCCTCTGTGTGCATGTTTATGGTATTAGGAGACTGGAAAAGCAATTTCAGCATGTAACGGAGGGGAGAAAAGAGTGCTTGAGTCTTGGGCTGGAAGGTTTTGCCCTTGATCTGATTGTCTACAGATGTGATGGGCAAAGTTATTATCAATAATGTGCAAGAATTAGCAAAATCTTAGTCAAGAAAATATAATATTCAGTATAGACCCCTTAAAAAGGCTGAATAAGTCTTAAACTCTATTTCCCTGCAGCTGTGTTCATCATCTGGAAATTATTTTTACCTGATTTTTAACTAGTTCAGTTGGGCTACCTGTTGCTATTACTGCTTCTGCTATTCTTACACCTTTAGCGCTCATAGCTCCTGAGTGTAAGGCTCCCTTGAACGAGTTCTGGAAATCACTTGGCCAAAGCCTTACAGCCCTAAAAGTTGGGTGTTCATTATTATCTCTAGTTAGATGAGGATGCTGAAGCATGCACAAGTCAAGAAAGTTTCCAACATTTACTCAAATATTACAAAATAGCTAGTACTGGGGCAGGTGTTCTCACTCACCAGTTTTAGCCACCATTTGAGACGCCAACATCCCATTTCAGAATGCCAGTTCAAGTCCCTTCTGTTCCATTTCTGATCCAGCTCCTGGCTAATGTACCTGGGAAAGCAGCAGATGATGGCCCAAGTATCCCTATAACCCATCTGGGAGACCAGGATGGAGTTCTTGGTATGTGACTTTGGCCTGGTTCTGACCTGGCTCCTGTGGCCATTTGAAGAGTGAACCAGAGAATGGAAGATCTCTTTCTTTCTCTGTCTCTCTCTCTTTCTCTGTTACTCTGTTAAATAAAAGAATGAATAAATAGTTGGTAGGGAGGATTATGAATGTTCCTGGTGAACACAAAAAGACAAATATATGAAGTTTTAAATATACCAGTTACCCAGATTATTGTACATTGTATACATGTTTTGGAATGTCACACAGTACCTCATAAATATGCACAATTATTATGTGTCAATTATGGTATAAAAATAATATTAAAAAATCTTTTCTAATGTCCCAGAATGGGTAAACAGCAAAGGCTATATTGAAACCTGGAAGTGTTTCATTCCAGAGACTACACATATGAGAGTAATTCAAACAGTTGGTGGGAAGTAGAAGTAGAAGTTTATTTTGGTATAAGAAAATTTTGAAATCCATGCAGTTTTTTATAATATGTATTTCTATGAATATTTTGTAGGTCCCTCATAGGCATGAATTCAATGAATTTTTTGCATCAAAATAAACTTAACCTTTAATTCCATTTTTCATGAACTTTCTGAAGGACCTTGTGTAACAGTGAAACAACCGCCCCCCCCCCCCCCCCCAAAACTGCCGAAGGTGCTTGCTTGCCGGAGAGACTTTCCAAAGTGCCTCTAGGTTCCAGCTCTTCAGCCTTAGCTTCTTACTCTTCCAGGAGAGCTAGGGAGGTGTCTATGTGCTTTCAGACCAAATGTGGGGTGAAACCCAGCAAAGGAGAGGCAGGGAGCTGAGAGAAGATGAGTTTAGCAAACACACTTTCCCTCCTTCAGAATGATGTTGCTGGCCTTGGGCCGTCCTGTTTATTAGCAGCAGAGACAAAGATCTGTTCTGTTGAAGAGTTTTATGGCATACCAACAACTGCGTCTGTGGCCTTTCCTCCTGAGAAAGGCAAATGTTGGGCAACAGTTTTTGATGGAATAGAATACAAAACCTGGTGTCAAGCCCACCTTAGGTAGGGAAATATGCTCCGTGGGTGTCGTCACAAAGACAAGCCATATTGGTCTTTTATAAATTTAAGTTTTCAAAAGTACTTTTGGAATTGACAAACAGTTGTATACACAAGGGGACTGAAAATATTCATTAAATATGGAGCTAAAAGACAAGCTTATTTTGGTGCAAAACATTTTGCAGTCTATGCAGACAAGCCAGAAAGTTCATGGAAAATATGTAGTAGATAAAAACTATCCATGAATTTCAAAATTTCTTTTGCACCCAAATAGAAATATTTTAATTTATTGTTTTCACTAACTTTTTAGAATACTCTATATTCATTGTGTACCACATGATGCTTTGTATTATGTGACAGGATTAACTAAACTGCTAGCATTTGTGCTACCTTACATGCTTATTTTTGGTGGTGAGAGCATTTAAAATCTATTGTCTTAGGTGCAGGTGTTGATGGTGCTTGGAACACCCACAATCCGTATAGGAGTGCTTGGGTTCAAGCCCCTACTTTGCTTCCCATTCTGGCTTCCTGCTAATGCCTACCCTGGTAGTCGGCAGGTGTCAGCTCAACTAGCTGGGTCCCTGACACCACATAGGAGACCCTGATTGTGTTTCCAGTTCCTGGCTCAGCCTGGCCTAGCTCTTGCTGTTATGGGTATATGGGTAGTAAGCCAGCAGATGGAAAAATCTCTGTCTTTGTCTCTATGCCTGTCAAACACAAAATGAAAATTTAAAAAGCAAGTCTATTCCCTGACTGATTTTCAAGAATGTACTACACCATTAGTAGGCCGGCGCCGCGGCTCACTAGGCTAATCCTCCGCCTTGTGGCGCCGGCAATCCAGGTTCTAGTCCCAGTTGGGGCGCCGGATTCTGTCCCAGTTGCCCCTCTTCCAGGCCAGCTCTCTGCTGTGGCCAGGGAGTGCAGTGGAGGATGGCCCAAGTGCTTGGGCCCTGCAACCCAGGGGAGACCAGGATAAGTACCTGGCTCCTGCCATCAGATCAGCACGGTGCGCCGGCTGCAGCGTGCCAGCTGTGGTGGCCATTGGAGGGTGAACCAACGGCAAAGGAAGACCTTTCTCTCTGTCTCTTTCTCTCACTGTCCACTCTGCCTGTAAAAAAAAAAAAAAAGAATGTACTACACCATTAGTAACTACAACCACCACATAGTAGAACAGATCTTCTGAACTTGATCATTCTTTCCTACTGAGATTTTGCTTTGACAACCATTTCCTCAACTCCAGCCCCTGGTAGCAACCATTCATACTGGTCTTTTGCTGGCCCAAGTTTTAGTTCTTCTTTGCTTCCTGTGAGTGGGGCACGTTCATCAAGGTGATTTGCAGGATGTCAGAGGTTTCTTAGTAGTAATATCTATAGGGGGAAATACAATTTTGATTTTTTTAAATAATGAAGGGAGGGGTTCTTTTAAAAGAGTTTTTTTGGTGACATATAACAGAAAAATAAACTTCAGTTAGTGTAATAGGGGCTGGCATTGTGGCGTAGTGGGTTAAGCCACTGCCTACAATGCCAGTATCCTATACGTGTGTCGATTTGAGTCCTGGCTGTTCCTCTTCTTATCCAGCTCCCTGCTAATGTGCCTAGGAAAGAAGCAGAAGATGGCCCAAATGCTTTGGCCCCTGCAACCATGTGGGAAACCCAGAAGAAGCTCCTGGCTCTTGCTTTCAGCCTGGCCCAGCTCTGGCTCTTGCAGTCATTTGGGGAATGAACCACCAGACAGAAGATCTCTTTTTTCTCTTCCTCCCTCTTTTCCTCCCTCCCTCCCTCTGTCTCTCTAACTCTGCCTTTCAAATAAATAAAATGAATTCTTAAAAAAATTTAGTGTAATAAAGAAAACATTGATTACATAACTGTAAAAATCCAGTGTTTGGGTACATTCTGGGCCAGTTTTGATTCAGTGATTCAATGAGAGAAGCAACCATTACTTTTATTACTCTGCTTCCTTCTTTCCCAAGGCATTAACATAATTATAAAATCCTCCTATTAATTAAGATGGTTGTTGGCAGTAATTGGGGACAAGTACTTTGTTGTTTACAGCCAGAAATGAAAGAAGGAATCTTCTCCCCACCATCAAACTGAAGTACTTTTCTTACCTGTGATCAGTTTAGGACATGAGTATGTCCACGAATCAACCACTGATGTCCTGTGATTTGGGACCGATGAACTCCACTGGCTCTAGAATGATTTCAATCAGTCATCATCATAGCTATTTCCCTTTTACTAGTTATTGGGTCAGGACTGGAGGTCAAGCTCAGGCCTAGGCCAAATTGGAGACTGCATTTTTTGGCAATAGTGGTTGTTTCATGGTGGATGGAAGAGGAGGTGAAATGCAAGCTAGGGCTACAAAGATGAAATTACTTCACAGAAAAAAGAGGTTCATGGAAAATGCATATTCTGAAAAAATATTCATGGATTTCAAAATTTTATACCAAAATAAATTTATTTCAATTTCAGTTTTTCATGCACATTTTGAATTACACTTGTATACTGTACATGTCAAAAGGTAAGACCAAAATAATAGTGATTTATCAGTACCAAATTTTTGGTAATTGGAAAACATGTTGATATAAAAGAAAACTAGCTACACTACTTTACATTAACCCAATCTTAATTTCATGGTGATTCTGTAATCACCTACTTATCCAAATAGATGAGCATTTCTTAGCTTATATTCTATGCAGCACTGAGGCCAGTGAAGCAAGCTTGTGGAGACACCATTTCTGGTCCAAAGATTTCAGGAGTAACTCTAGGCTTGAAGATACGTTTTGTTTTTTCTTTAAAATTTCCTTATTGAATTTCTCTATAAAATTACAATACCATTTCAGACTACATTCACTGCACAATTGCAGTTATGTAAATAGTAATAAATGTCTTCTACACCAATGATCCCAGAGATAAGTAATGTTAATAATTTAGTATGTTTTCTACAGTTTTTGCATATGTATAAAAACTATGACCATATATGTATAGTTCTTTCTTTTTATAAAAAATGAGATTGTGTATTCCATGTTACTCTGCAAATCTTTTCTCACTTAACAATACCTCACTGATACACTTCCAATATCTATAACTATAGATATAACTTATTCTTCAATAGATTCCTGTTATAGATGTGATATAAAATTTATCCAACCATTTTATTATTGGTGGAAACTCAAACTATTTTAATTTTTTTTGCTACTGAAAACAATGCTTTTTCAATTGATTTAATCCAGCATAATGGCTTTTTCTAACAGACTTTATCAATGAGTTCAGCCTCAGATCTTGGTCCTACTTAGCACAGAGACTATGTAAATATTTATTCAAACCATTGTAATATGGTTTTCGAACATTAACCCAAGTGTTGAGTAACTCATAGGGGTACATTTCAAGGCATTTATGAGTCTCCAAATTCTGAACACCACTTTTCCAAGATAGATTTCATAGGAAATGACTGAAACACAGGTGGTTGGGTGAGTTTAATAAATGAGCTAATTGTGAATGTCAGGGCTGATTTAAGGAAAACCAATGAGGTAGACTGAAGTAGCCTAGATATAGAAGGAACCTTTACGTTTTCCTTAAACCTGAAGGGAGAAAGAGGGAGTTGATACTGACATCCAGAGAAAGAGCTGCAGCTGGAGAAGTAGGCTGCTTGGCCTAAGCAGTGATTTTTTTTTTTTTTTTTTTTTTTTTTTTTTTTTTTTTTTTTTTAGCTAAAAGTGTTTATTAAACGAGTAATACTTAGCAATATATTTAAGGGACATGAAAGAGTTTGGGCATTAACTGCAAGGAAAAAGAAATACAAATTATCCCAGTAGATTTCTGGGTCTATTTCATTCATCAAATAGTTTTAAATAGGAAAGGTTTCAAGAGTCCAAGCAGTGGCCGGTGCCGCGGCTCACTAGGCTAATCCTCTGCCTTGAGGCGCCAGCACACCGGGTTCTAGTCCCGGTCTGGGTGCTGGATTCTGTGCCGGTTGCCCCTCTTCCAGGCCAGCTCTCTGCTGTGGCCAGGGAGTGCAGTGGAGGATGGCCCAAGTGCTTGGGCCCTGCACCCCATGGGAGACCAGGAGAAGCACCTGGCTCCTGCCATTGGATCAGCGCGGTGCGCCGGCCGCAGCGCGCCGGCCGCGGCAGCCATTGGAGGGTGAACCAACGGCAAAGGATAGAGGAACCCAGACAATACCTATCCAGGAGTGGTGAAGAAGGAATTCTAAAAGAATAAGTGCCCTGATTCAGTCCCCTCCTGTCCTTTAACCCACTGCTGTTGTATCTCATCAGCCAAAACTAACTGGAAGGAAAAGGTATTCACACACTGAATACCTCTAAGGCAAGGATTCACTCACTTTTTCTCTTTGTAAACTCAGATCTATTTTGAAGGACATGACATAAAAAGGCAATTTCAACATGCTGGTAAAATGACCTTATTTTTAAGATGAACCCTTTGGAAAGGTAATTTTTATTTTAAGTATATATTAATGATTGTAACTACAACTAGAACATCGATGATAGATTGTTAGAACAATATAATATTAGTGCTCAATTTGTATTTCTTTCAAGGTGGTTTGTGTGATGAAATTACAAATACTGCAAGAGGGAAGATTATAATGTTTCCCTGTGTATTAAGCCTTTAAAGTCATTAAAAACTTGCACATGTATTTAATTTCATCCTTCACAAAATTTTTTTTGAAAGGCAGAGAAACAGACTCAGACCTTTCATCCATGGCTTTACTATCCCAAATACCCATGACTGGCAGGGCTGGGACAGGCTGAAACCAGGAGCCCACAATTCAATCTGGGTCTCCCACCTGGATGAGTAACAGGGACCCAATCACTTGAGCGATCCCCTGCTGCCTCCCAGAGCGTGCATTAGTAGAAAGCTGGAATTGGGAATGGGGCTGGGACTCAAACCCAAGCACTCCCATATGGAATGTAGGTATCTCAAAGCCTCTAAGAGAAGCTTCATCAGCTTCTTACCAATCATAAGACAAGGATTTGGACAGGCGGAGTTACCAAGGACAAGTTGGGTGGTGTCATTGTTGGGATGTAAAAAGACATTGCTTAACTTGGAATCCTGGCTGCTTCTCACCTAAGTGAGATGCAGCAGGCAACTTCTTTTCTCTGAAGCACAAAGACTCATTTATAACAACAGATAAATATAGTCCTCACCTCACAGGAAGCATATGTTAAAGCACCTAGGTAGGGCCAAAGTAATGGCCCTGTTGTCAGGGTCCCCCTAGTAGCAAGGCACAGCAAGACTCTTTATCATCTCTTCTGTTTCTAAATAAAAGGGTTTCTCTACAACACCATAATTGTCTCACAAACACCCTCTATTGCATTTCTCTAGCCCTATAGCATTTTCAAGTGATTACACATATGGAACGTTTGCTCTCAGCCCAATTTGGACCTTATTCCTTACTCCATAATTATGCGGGGTGACTGGGTCAGGCACAATTGTCCCCAGCTTTTAGGCAAAAAGCTAGAGGTCAGATAAACTGAAGGGTTTGTTCAAGATGACTCCAACTCAGCACTTTTATCACTGTGTAATATGTTTTTCATCACTTTATTTTTACAAGACTTTTATTTTTTGAGTAGTAAATTACCCTAAATGGAGAATGACCCATATTTTTTTCTTGAATGCCTTTGTGTGACTTTTCCTGCCTCTTTACTGGTATTGGGACACTGGATGTTTAATTTGTTTGAAGGCAGATGCCTGTATAGGAGTTTGTGGAGTAAACAAAACCTTTGAGAACCAAAGAAACAATCATGTTTCCTAGTCAGATTTTGAATTTTTCAAAAGATATATCCTTACGTATATATTTGGGACATTTTCCCTCAATGTATTGATAATGTGTCCGGTACAAATGGCCTGAAACCTGTAAAGATTATGGAAAATGAATTTGAGTCATGGATACCAACTTCAGAGTGGGAAATTCAAATGCGGGAAATTTCACTATGTGTGATACAATCAAGGATGAACATCACCCCATTCTGTAGAGTTCATGTCAACTAGCTGGCTAATGTCAGTAAGGTCTAGATCTATAAAAAAACTTTAGTGGTCATGGCTAAAAACATAATGCAGGAATCTAGGAATGCAAGGACTAATGGATTTAGGATTTTTATGGTTAGAGAGATGACCTCCATCGCACCACTTTCCAGAAGAGAAGGCAAAGTGCTAACTTCCTAAAGCTTTGTGGCAAATTCAGAGTAAATCTTGACTTTTCTGCTTAATCCTTAAAGTAGGCATGCAAGCCAGAATGTTGTCAGGTGGTTGCAACTCAACAGATTAGTTGATATTATCATTATTTCTATTGTGCAATTTGGGGAAACTCCCATGGCCTCTCTGGACTCTAATTTTCTTACTGGCAAAATTAGGATAATGCTAGTGCCCAATTCACAGGGTTATTGTGGGGATTAATGAAGCAGCGTAGATGTCAATTGAGCACAGTGTTTGGCTGATAGAAATCATTCAACAGAGGTTTCCCAATGGAGAATATTAATATAGTTATTGTTGACAAGGGCATTAAGTCAATGTCCATATCCAAACAGGTCAGGTTGCATTCCTATTTTAGTGCAAAAAATTTCATTTACTTTTTTGATATATATTATGATAAAATTTACTCCTATGGAATTGTTTCAGTTTTTGTTACAGACCTGCAAATGATCAGGTTGGATCTTAAATTCTTGAGAGGAGCTTGAGAGGAACTCTCCAGAAGCTAAGCTCAGCTACCCTTGCTAGTTAAGTAATATTAGAATATTTACATAACCCTGCTGAGCCTCAGTTTACTTATTTAAAGAAAGGGAAAATAATACCTTCCTCATAGGAAGATTTTATGCAATCACATACAAGTATGCAGATCACCTGGTACACTGCTTAGCAGGAGGTGGCTGACACATGCTAATGTCCATTCTCCCATCTACTCATCCCAAACTGCTGTGAGTATTCACTGTTATCAACTCAAAGCTACCTACTGTTAGGCAAGAGAAGCCACTTTACCCAGAAGAGCACACAATGCTGTTACTAATGACTGATTGATTTAGGATTACAAAAGACTGACCCTGGTTTTAATACAATATCACTTTGAAGCACAATTTATGTACCCCAGGTTCCTGCTGGCTCAGGTCAAGACTAGACCTTAGGGCTTGCCCTGTGGCATAGAAGGTTAAGCCTCTGCCTGCAGTGCTGGCATCCCATGTGGGCACCTGTTTGAGTCCCAGCTGCTCCAGGCAGCCTAATTCAGCTCCCTGCTAGTGTATCTGGGAAAGCAGCAGAAGATGGCCTAAGTACTTGAGCCCCTGCATCCACATGGGAGACCTGGAGGAAGCTCCTGGCTTCTACTTGACATAGCCCTGGCCCTTGCGGCCTTTTGGGGGAGTGAACCAGCTGATGGAAAATTTTCTCGTTCTCTCTCTTTCTATCTCTGCTTTTCAAGTAGATAAATGTAAATCTTTTTTTTTTTTTTTTTTAAAGAGGATTGGACCTTACTGGACATTCTTATTTGTCTCTTTTCTACATTTCTTGCTCCCCTATGGATTCTTTCTGAAGAGTGCTTCTTCAATAAATTACATTTATTTGGCCACCCCAATTCTTGCTTCCAGGGAACCAGACCTAAGATACTCATCAAAGTGCCTTAGACAAAATAATTTTCCTCAAAGTCTTGTGAGAACCATTCTTATAGAAACTGGTTAAATGCCTTTTTTTTTTTAAATATTGAATCAACCCAAGCCTGTTTCATTCTGACATGGACACAGGGAAATTTCTTGATACTAGGAATCTTTCACCCAAAGATAGCAGTCTCATATTTGTCTAAATGACTGGCCTGTGCCCATCTGTGAATGCCTCCTTGCCTCTACCCTGCTATTGTTTGTTAGGAAAATGGAGATTATTTAGAGCCCAGAAAGTATGTATGAGATTTCTTAACGTGGAATAACCTGATATTTTTTTAAAACTGGGAGGTTTCTAGGAGCAAACATTTTTAGACTAAAGCTGACTGATGTATTTGTACAGATTTTTCTTTATTTTTTTCTCTGGTTTCTCATAAAGCATGTTCTGGAGGCTGTCTAACTTGGAGGGAAAAAGACTTCTGTGAGAAAACACTGGGCTCAAAAATGGTTCCATGTGGTTCAAAATATGTTTTAGACATTTTGTAGGAAAAAGTATGGACTTGATCATAATAGTGTGATTTGGAAAAATATTTCTGTCAGCAGAAATCTTTAGGGAGTAGCTGGGAGTTGTGAAGCATAAACTTAAATGATTACCTGCAAAGATTATTCCTTAGGTAGCTTCAAAGAATGAAATAGGCTGACCAAAAGAAAGGAGGTGGAGGCCGGCGCCGTGGATCAATAGGCTAATCCTCTGCCTGTGGTGCCAGCACCCAGGGTTCTAGTCCCAGTCGAGGTGCCAGGGATTCTGTCCCAGTCGCTCTTCTTCTAGTCCAGCTCTCTGCTGTGGCCTGGGAGTGCAGTGGGGGATGGCCCAAGTCCTTGGGCCCTGCACCCGCATGGGAGACAAGGAGAAGCACCTGGCTCCTGACTTCAGATCAGCGTGGTGTGCCGACTGCAGTGGCCACTGGGGGGGTGAACCAACAGAAAAGGAAGACCTTTCTCTCTCTGTCTCTCTCTCTCACTGTCCACTCTGCCTGTCCAAAAAAAAAAAAAAAAAAAAAAAAAAGAAAGGAGGTGGTTGTTAGAAAATGGCACTGGGTGTGAGAGGTGTATGGAAGATTTGGAACAATTGCTATGGATATTTAATGAGGATTCATTTAGGAATGGATGTAATGACTCTCTACATGCAGCTAAGTGTCTTGTAGAGATCTGGGGGTCAGAATTTTAGTGGGATAAAATTCATTTGGTAATATATGCAATGATAGTGTCTTTTTTTTTTTTTTAAAGATTGTATTTATTTAAGATGTAGAGTTAAAGAGAGAGGGAGGGAGGGAGAGACGGAGAGAAAGGTCTTCCATCCGCTGGTTCACTCCCTAAACGGCTAGAGCTGGACTGATCCGAAGCCAGGAGCCAGGATCCAGAAGCTTCCTCTGGGGCTCCCATGTGGATGCAGGGGCCTAGCACCTGGGCCATCCTCCACTGCTTTCCCAGGCCATAGCAGAGAGCTGTGGGGGTTTGGGGCTGTTGACCCTCCCCACTAGAAGATGCTGCCTGTTGTGCTGCTTTGGGCTTTCACATTGTCCAAATGTGTAGTCATATTGGTGGTTCAGGGTCTGAAAAGGATGTGGAATGGCGGCCTCACATACATCTAATCTAGGGCTTCCTCAAAGCGCAGCCCACAGCAATAGTTTTGAGTACATGGCAAACTCTGCAGGAAACCCCTTACATAAAGCTTCAGCAGGAGTGGACATCTTTTCACTAATATTGTCATATTTTTGTTTCTTTGTTGCAGCCTTTAGTCCTTGCCATGGCAGGCTGGTTCTATGAAAATACATC